TTCTCTATTCTATGTTCTGAACACTCAAAATTTTTGTGAGTCTTGGGCTCAAGGGGAGACTTTGAACAAGCTTAAATAGAATTTTGGGTTTAAAAAATTCAGGGGGAGCGGTAAGCTTACCTATGAATTTGTCGGTTACAATAATTACCTTGTATAAATTTTATTATCAAAATACATGGTTTTGTCATCATCAAAAAGGGGAAGATTGTAAGGACGAGAAGTGTTTCTACATATGGCCTTGAGATTTTAATGATAACTACATGTTATCTTAGAGAATAATTGTATACACTAATGGTTTCGTCTAGTGTGTAGCTGCTGCTATAATATTCTGACTCTGATACAAGGTGTGTGACGTTATCAATTTATGAACATACACTACTGGAACAAAATATGTGGTTACGTGTTACAGTTGAAGTCAAGGTTCTGAATCTATCTTCTGCAATGTATCTAAGGAACGTTAGTACAAGAGGTTTTGATTGTGACTTTATGGTTAAGCTTTGGAGGTCTTCTAAAGCTTTGCTTCTACGTGTTACAAGTTCTAAAGATTATGAAGACGAGGGTCTGCTGAACAAGTTCTGATGATCTGAAGAAAAGAAAGTTCTTATAACCAAGTGCTAAAGACTCTGAAGACAAGGTTCTGTGTGACAAGTTCTAAAGACTCTAAGACTTAGGTTCTAAGACTTAAAGAAATATTCTTCTACAACAAGCTTCAACGTTCAACATTCAAATATCCGAAGCCTCTGAAAATAAGAATAAAACTTTAAAATGGTTAACGTATGATAGTGTACAAAAGGTATATAAAGTGTCTGTGACCTCTACTATTCTAGAGTGGAGTAAGGACAAACCTTTTTTACTTGACTGTGACTACTCTCATTATAACCGTTGAGAACTAACAACTAGATTTCTGATTTACCTTTCTACCCTTTCAACGAATCTCTTTTACAAGCTATAAAAGGAAGACTTGGAAGGTGAAGAAAAGTAAGAAACAACACTACAACGACAAATCTATTGGTTCAAATTAAGCTCAAAAAAACTACACCAAAGCTCTGTGCAAACTCTATAGAGAAATCATATTTGTATAGTTTTATAAATAAGCAAGGAGATGTTTCTTGTATCTTTCAGTATAATAGTTAGGTGTTTTTCATTGTACTGAAAAGTCTGTGTAATATGCTTACAAGAAATAAATATGTAATACAATAAAAGTACTCTACTGTTGTTGAATGATATTTTGAGAGACTGAGTGAAGGTCTGATCTCAAGAAGACTCTTGTTACGGCTTGAGTGGATTTACAATAAGGATCAATGAACTTATTAGGGGTGCCAATAAGGTTGATCAGACTTATTGTGAGTTGTTCTGTAATCAGTTTGGTTATAGTGGATTAAGTACTTGTTGAAGGCGAAATCATCCTTGAAGGGGTGGACTGGAGTAGCTTAGTTAACAGCGAACCGGGTTCAAAATCATTGTGATAATTTATTGTTATGTTCTAAGCTAACTTTTTCAGACACCAACAGAAAGATTTAATTTTGTGAAACCCAATTTAAACCCCCCCTTTATTGTGTTTCTCACACCTTCACGTACATGCTTTATTGTCTAGAAACTAATAAAGTTGAAGTCAGCAGAGACACCATTGTGAAAGAGTGAGAAGCTTGGGATTGGATCAAGTCTCAATCCATTTTTAGTAAAGTGCCAACACTAGAGTTAACTTCTCAAGATACTTCAGAGGGTTCTGAGAATGAGTCAAAAATTAAAAGTTATGAAGAAGAGTCAGAGTCATAAGATGACTTTGGAGACTCTGAAGATGAGTCAGATGGTAAATCTTCTCCTAATCCATATTTTGACAATGATCTAAAATTTGCTGGTGATCATGTTTCTAGAAGGAAAGACTCTGAAGACATAGGTTCTAGAGGACAAGCTTTTAGTGGTGATCATGTTTCTGAAGAAAGATGGTACTTCTGAAGGTGGTGGTTTTGGACGAGGTCCATAAGCTAACATTGTTACAGGTTCTGGAGAAGATTCAGAATGAGTTCAGAAATCACAAAGAATCAGACAAACACCAAGAAGATCTACAAAGTTTGACGAGTTGCAAGACACCAATGTAAACTATGAGGAAGAATTTATTCATTATGCCATGTTAGTAGACTCTGAACCATTGGGTATTAAAGAAGATCTCAAGAAGAAAGTATGGTTGAATGTCATGAAAGAAAAACTTGAGGCTATAGAAAGACACGAGACTTGGAAGTTGACTAAGCTTCCAAACGATAAGAAAGCCATCAACGTAAGATGAGTTTTCAAGGTAAAATTTAAATCAGATGGATCAATCGGCAAGTACAAAGCAAGGCTAGTGGCTAGAGGTTTTCTTCAGAAACCTAGGCTATATTACTTTGAGGTGTTTTCACTTGTAGCTAGACATGAAACAATCAAACTGGTGATTGCTTTAGCTGCGAATAAGAATTGGCCTCCGATGCATCTGGATGCAAAGTCAGCATTTCTGAAAGATCTGTTACCAGAAGAGGTATATGTGTCACAACCTCCTCATTTTGTAAAAAAAAAAATCAGGAAGGGATGGTGTACAGGTTGCATAAAACCTTGTATGGATTGAAGCAAGCGCCCAGAGCTTGGAACTTGAAGGTTGATTGATTTTTTAAGAAGTAAGGGTTTCAGAAATGCGAGATGGAATATGGCGTTTATGTGCAGCATTATGGAGGCAATATGATTATGGCGTGTCTCTATGTTGATGACATATTGCTAACAGGGAGTTATCTAGAAGGTATAATCAAGTTCAAGGAGGTGCTGATGAATGAGTTTGAGATGACTGATATGGAAAATATGGTATATTTTCTAGGGGTAGAGATTTTGTACTATGAAAAGAGTGTCATTTTGCACCAACTGAAATATGAACTTAAGCTTCTGAAGAGATTTAAGCTGCAGAATTGTAAAGCTGTTGTCATACCTTCAGAAACCAATCAAAAATTGGATTCTGATTCTGAGGGTGACGAAGTGGATGCTACAACCTTCAAACAATTGGTTGGTTCTTTGAGGTATTTGTGTAATACCTGCCCTGATATTTGTTATGCAGTTGGAATGGTTAGTAGGTTCATGAGTAAATCTAAGTGGTCCCATTACCAAGCTGCTATGAGGATTCTGAGGTATATCAATGTAACTCTGAAATACGAAATGCTATTTCCTTCTGGAAGAAAGACTAATTTAGAGTTGATGAGTTACTCAGAATCTGATTGGTGTGAAGATAAAGTTGACAAAAGAAGTACTTCTGGATACCTGTTTAAGTTTCTGGGAGGTCCAATTTCTTGGTGTTCCAAGAAACAATTTGTTGTTGCACTGTCAACGTGTGAAACTGAGTACGTTGCAGGTGTTGTAGCTGCTTGTCAAGCTATTTGACTTCTAAATCTACTATAGGATTTTAAGATCAAGGTAGACAAACCGCTGAAGCTGATGATTGACAACAAGTCTACAATCAATCTTGTCAAGAACCCAATGCTACATGAGAGAAGCAAGCATATTGAGACAAAATATCATTTCCTGAGAAGTCAAGTCCAGAACAGATTACTAGAAGTTTTGCACTGTAGCATTCAGAAGCAGTTGGATGATGTTCTGACAAAGACGATAAAGACAGATCAATTTATCCAATTAAGGGATGAAATTGGTGTTGTTAATTTTTTATTAAGAAATCCTGAATTAAGGGATGATATTGCAGGGTAATTTAGTATTTTAGTATGTTACCTATGTGACCCTAGTTTATATGTGTAAATAAATTAGTAGTAATTGTCATTTAAATAATCTTCCTTTAATTTTTGTAGTTGTCATTACAAAACAATAAATATATTGTCTCATTCTTTCTGATTTTCATCTCTTTATGCACTAACAACTTTTACCATTCTTATGATTTGTAATTTTGTATAATGGAAAATTCATTATAGATATGTTTTAATGATAATTTCTGTTGCAGGTGGTGCCAATAGCTATTACTAGAGAGAAAATCAGTGTAACTTTTTTTTGCTACATAGAATTAAAATATTAGAATCAATTTTTTTTTAAAGATCATCCTTATAAGAAAGTCAAATGTATGTGCATCATCAAGTGTCAACTCTAAAGTATCCATTAGGGCAACAATCTATATAACAAAGTCTGTTTAGCAATGAAGAAATGGTTAAATGTGATTAATCCAACACGAAAAATATGATTATGAAAATGATGGTATGTTCAATGATTGGCGTTATCTTTTGATTAAGATGAGTGGTCTAGAAAAAGTAACTATTTCTTGGATTAGTTTACAAAGACAGAAATACCAAAATATAAATTTTGTACCTTCATAACCTTTCATGTCATGAACTAAGAATATATTAAGTTTTCGTTCCTAAATTATTATGCTATGTTTTCTTTATGTCATTATATTTAATAATTTGAGGCATGTTAACTTGCAAGATATTTAATAAATGTATTTAATTGTACTTGGAGTTCTTCTATTTCATGTAATGATCTTGAAATTGAGGGTTAGCTTTGCTCTGGAAAAACCATCAGATATTTATATTATTTATGGTCACGTACCGTAAGTGTTAACATGTAATTTAGACTAGTAAAAATAATTTTAGACGTAGTTCCTTATTCTCAATAGCCTAGCCTATATGTTGAAATCTATCATTAGTCTTATTTGAGGACCAAAATCACACCTTGAGGTTCCTTCACAACCTCAAATTACTACTGAATGGTAAGCTCTTTACATTTTTTATATACACAATCAAAGTTTGATTATGCTCAATACACAATTGCTTTAAAAAGAAAAACATGATACATTTTCAAGATAAATGTAACATGCAATGTGAAGAAAAAAAATGAAAAAAAATGTATAACAACATATTTTATTTTATATTGAAACGGTTGTATAGAAACAACAAAATTAAGCATATTTTATTACAGAATTATTGAAAGACTTTGAAAACAACTACTCGCAACTTCTCCAGATTTCAAATCATATCTAGTAGTTATTAGTAAAAGTGGAGTTGTGTCAATGCATGTGCACTGGACACATTGGAAACGTTGTTATTGTTGTTATGTGGTGGAACAACAACATTATGGATGACAGCACCACCAAGTCTTGAATCAACATTTTTATCTTCACGTCGATCTTCATTATTAGAGGCCACCCTATAAAACTTTGGCTTCTTACAAAGAGTGGCAGAAATCAAAACAACACTTGAAGCCCTGACCTTTCCTCTAACAACTCCACCAAATAATTGACCATGATTACCAGATAGGAAAATGGTGAAAGAAGAATAAGCAGGGTCGAGGACAAACTCCGAAGGAACACGATCGGAATCCGTATTAAAATAAGTTCCAGTAAGAGATGTCATTTGCAAGTTTCCTCTGATAGTGAATGGAGAGTTTAAGCACGCCGAGTTAAGAAGCGTAACCTCAGAGACAAGACCAGAACCTCTCAACACTAATATATCAGCTTCATGACACCGAGCCGTCTTTATTATCGACTCGACCACATCTTCTCCAGCAGGGATTGCAATAAAAATCGGTTTCATGAAAGTTTCAGATTCTACCGTGATCATGGAAGGTGGTTTAGGTTTGTTTTTGGAGCCCTTAGGTCTACCCCTAGATCTTTTAGAGGATGGTGTGGTTAGATCCTCTGAGAGTTCATGAGGGTGATTGATGCACATGTCAAAGGAAGGAGATTTTTGTGAAAATACATTATCTACCATTGTTAGAAAATATAATCACTAAAATAATTTAGGAGAGTATTTATAGCAGTATTCTAAAATGAAATTGTTTATTAAAAAATTATACTTTAGGATAATGATGTGTATTTACATTATTATAAAATATGAATTATAAACAATGTACTTCTCGAAACTTTGAAAATTTAAATTTTAATCAATAATTATAAATATGTTTTATAATATAAATATGTTATTATTCTTCTAGAAATATATTTTCAATATGCTATTATATACTATGTACCTACAGTTACTGGTCAAACAATGAAATATTTTATTAGTAAATAATTATTTATTAAACAAAATACTATACTAATCACAATTAAAAAATATTTGTTATAATTAATGCCAAAATTGAATAAAAATAATAATATAATTTGGCTAATTGAATCACGTGTTAAATAGTCATCGTTATCACATTTTGATATTTACTAAACCTTTATTTTGATTTATACAAAACATATTAAAAAAATAACAAAATTATAAAATAGAAACATGTGCATCAACGGTGCACTAGAACAACATAATCGACAAAAAAACAATGAAAAGAAAAGAGAAAACTAACTACACCAATACTACAAAAAACAAATCATTCGAGCCATGCGCATCTATAGAGACACCACACACTGACCCATAGTGAGCAGGTTGAAGAGAGGTAAATGCCACCACCTATAAATAAACGAGTATAATTGGCTGTCCAACACTCTCCTAAAGGCAAATGCACCATAGCGGGTCTCAAGCAAAGAAAATGTAGAAATTTGAATATAGAGTATGGACTCACTTTCATGTCAAACCAATAATCAAAGTCATCTAATGATTAATTGTCATTCTTTTGCATCTTAAGATAATTTTCTTATGCCTTTTCAAATATTTCAAATTAGACAACTCACCTTAATATTAACATACACAATTTAGCGTCTTAAAAATTTCTGACTAGTCGAAAGTCTTTCCATTAAAAACTTTCATTAAAAAACCACCACATTAGAAGGCCTCACACTTTTCCATACCTTTTCCAACCCCCAAATGATGAGCAAACTCCCTCGTTGATCGTCAAACAGGAAAGCTTAACATAGCAAGTCCTCATTGAAAAACCCCTCATAAGATCTAAGACGTATTCCTAGACATTCACCCGACCTTGCTTTACCACCCAACTACATAACTACGTAAATCCACAAAAACCTCTTCCTCCTATACAATGAGAGAATAACTCTACCTAAATTTCCAACACCAAACCTCTCCTATTAAGTTCCCCATCAACCTCACAACTAGATACTTTTGCTCCAAGATTAGAAATTACCTCTTAAAAGAGACACACAACAGGAAATTCCATACACAATTTGTTTTCCATAAATTTGTATTCGAACCATCTCCAACCACCTGAGAACAAAAAGAGGCAAACTAGTATAACTGGTGATATGGTCAGAAACCAAGAAAGGAAACCACTATCCAACAAAAGTACTATTTCCTTAAACCAATCACCCTGCCACCCAACAGGGAACCACACACTCGAGCTCCATTTTTAGAAGAAACAATATTCTTCCACAAATAATGCTTATCCCCAAGAACGGTCCACCTCCACTTACTTAATGGAGCCAAGTTCACAAGCCTTATATCCTTAATTCCTAAAGTTTCATCCCTATTAGGCTTGCATAGGTCCTCATATTTCACCCAAACTACCTTAGTCAGTTCTTTTAAGCCTCCACAGAGAAACCTCATTTTCCTTAAAACTAACTTCTTTTAGGAATTAACTAGATTCTTCAAGAAAGAAAGGAAAAAATAGGAATATATTTCTGAACATAATTCAGCAGAACAACCATCCCTCTGAGACTCACAAACATGTTCCTCCAAGATTCAAGTCTCATGGAAATAGTCTTAACAAGAGACTCATATGTCATTTATTTCCCAAGGTTAGCACCCATCAGGAGCCATAAGTGTCTGTGAGCTGATTTGCTTGAGGACAAGCAACTATTCAAGTTTGAGATAGTTTGATAACTAGTATTTATACCACTTAATGTGTGTCTTTATCAGTACTTTCTTAAGCTTATTTCTTTGTTTTATTCCTCTTTTACTGCTTTCTTGTATGGTTTTATGTTTTCAGCTATTAAAGAGTGTCAAGAGTTGAAGCGGAATGAAAAAAGACCAAAAAATGCAAGAAGAGGAGTCCCCTCCCCCAGTACATAAAACTCGTGGCCAGAATAGTTGGACCGTGTCTCCTAAAATGGGTTGTGTTGGCACCCAAACTCCCCCCCCCCCCCCAATATGAAGAAACCTAGGACAACACGGGAAGGTCATGTTCCCTGAAGCTTTCAATGTTATCACGACAATGCCACTGTTAGGCCCAGTTTCAACTGCAAATATTTAGTGTTTTGTAACCGTTTTCTAACTTTTGGTGTTCCAAACAACTCCATCTGAGCAATTAGTGGACCATTATAAAATTTTCATGAAACTAAGGAGATTAAATTTCAAAATTATGTATAAGTGGTGCATCATTAGCTTGAGAAAAGGGGGAATGACTTTACCACATTACAACTTCTTCAGTTTTAGTTTTTGGTTCAAAGCTTTCAAGTTATTTATTGAAACTTTAAGCTATAATTATGTATTTCTTTCTTTATCTTATTGAAGTTATTGTCTTTATTCATGTTTCTTATTTACACAGTTATTGCTTTCTTCTTATTTGTTATATTATGCATGATATGTCTACTTTTAGTTTATTTGCGACCAATCTCACCATGAGTGAGTAGTCCATTAGAGTCAAGGGTTCGTGAGATCTATCTCATAATAAACCATAATTGAATTATCTATATATGAATAATGATAAAATAACAACAAGTATTATTTTAGAAACTGAATGCTGAAATATATTTGTGTCAATTGTGAAAACAGAAGCAACTTAGATACCAATCATGTAGTGAAAAGTAATGATTTGGTAAATGAGAGAAAATTACTAAACTAACAATTTTGAGGTGCGATTAACAAGGTGTCTCTTTCTCGGTTGAGAAAATCGCATATATATGCTAAAAACACATCTAATACGCACAATATGTAAGTAGGTGTTTTAAAATTTTATCTACTTTTTCTATAACTTGTTCTACTTTCTCATATTAGATTTTGGAGAGTCAATTGTGTATATCAGGATAGAAAATAACATACCCTGTGCCCTGCTTTTTATTTTGTAAATCTTATTCACCTCTATTAATTCCCCAATATTTCGATCGCCTTAGCTACACAACGTTGGAGTGAAAATCAGTAATCAAACAGACCTCCACGTGGCTCGATATCTCCATTACTACAAAAAACCCATATAACATCATACGCGAAATACATTTAATCTTGGCTACAAAAGCGAGGTAACAAAGGGAATCATTAAAAGATACCACTTTACCCCAAATTATTAAAAAGCCTAAGGGGTACAGTTATATGCACATGGATCCGATCCCCAACATTTTCATCTTTATTATTTTAAGAACTGGATGGCGCGCCCAATATTAAGTCTCAGTGTTGTGTAAAATCGAGGTAATAGCTCATGTTAATGCCTCAAATTTAAGTAAAAAACGAGGGGATAAGTTTTTTTTAATATTGTTGTTGGAACATATATTACAAAAACATATTATAGAATATAAAACCATATTTTGCAGATTCCTAAAACAGAAATTTATACATTTTGTCAATTTCTCAATCTGAAACATTTTACCACAAATATTCATAGTTTACACCATATGCAAACCCAAAATGGAACACACTTTAAAATTTTACAACAAAAGTAAAACAAATGATTAACCAACAAAAGCAATAACTAAACTAGAAAGTTGTAGGTTGTCCAATAGGATTCGCCGCTGGTCGTTAAGCACCTATAATTTGAACAACATTTGAAACCAATTAGGATAATCAACAAAAACTTTAAATCTATAGTACAAGAAATAAAAAAGAGTAAAATGAATAATTATAAATTATTAAGTAATATAAAATATTTACTTAGGCCTACATGAAAACCATTTAATTGTATCTGATGTGTTACTCTCTTTAGAAACACTTCCATTAAACCAATTTATGAAAGTTGGCAATCAAAAGTCACTGTGATTTGTGAATAAAAAAATTTGCCACGATGGAAACACATACTTTGTTTGGCAAATTACAGGAATATTAAATGGATCTAAAGAGACTTGCTGATGATGAAGAAGATAACAAAAATAATAAGAAAAATAATTACACTTAAAGCTACAAACATCGAAGATATGGAATCAGAAGATGAAGATTGTCAAAGTGAGATTAATAAATTCGTGAAGTATATGTTTCAAAAATTCAAAGAGCTCATATGGAACTAAAAATAAACTTCAAGACTTTAGAAGCAAAGTAAAGAAAGCTCATCCATTCCTACATGTCATAAATGCGGAGAGAAATGACATATAAGAGTAAACTTCCCTCAAAATCCGAGAAGAAACCAAAATCAAAGAAAGTTCAAGAAATCCAGAAAGAGAGCATACATATCCTAGGATAATGATGATATGGAATCTTCAAATAAAGAAGAAGCAAACCTCTGTGTCACAGCAAAACATCAAGATGATGAGGTAACCTCTCAATTCTCCTACAATGATTTATTTAGAATATGTAAAGAACTATCTAAAGAAACAAACGGACTTGAAAAAAATCATTTCAACATAAAATGATGGGATTTACGTTCTTGAAACTAAAAATAAAGCTCTAGAAAAAGAACTAAGTAATCTTAGAGAAAAAAGACAAAAGGTTATACAAGACCCTTCCACTTTAAAAACAGACACATGTAATAAGAGCAATATATTAAAATATGAAGTTTGCAACCTTCAAAAAACTCTTGTTAAATTCACAAAAGGAAGAGATAATCTATAAGTACTATTAGGAAATCACAGAGCCTCCTACAATAAGGAAAAACTAGGATATGAACCTAAGAACAATAATACAAACTTTGGAAATATTTGCAATGCCCAACCAACATCTAAATGTAAGACCTT